GCTTGGTTGTCACTTACCTGTGAAGTGAACCGTGCAGTCCCACGAAGGAGGAAGAAGGCGGCCATAGCCGCAGAGCATCATCACAGAGTAACGAAGGAGGGAGAGAGAGAGGACAGAGAGGGGGAGACCGAGAAGAGTAAGGGAAGCCATAGCCGAAGGAAGGAAGAAGAGGTGATCAAAAAAAATATATATATATATAGAGAGAGAGAAAGAGAAGAAGAAGACAGCGGGGTGAAAGGAGGCGAGGAAGGTGAGGAAGAAGAAGGGAATTGGCGAGGAAGAAGAGCCGGCAGCCATAGCTGACCGGAGGGTTGACCAGAGGAGTTGACCGGAGGTGTTGACCAGCGTTACCAGAGTTGACCGGGGGGTTGACCGAGGGTTGACCGCAGCGTTGACCGGCGTTGACCAAGGCCGTTGACCAAGACTTTGACCAAGCTGGAGTTGGTAACATCTCGCCAAGCCTTCAGCCTACCCCTTGCCCTATGGACGTGCACATACCCCTTGGTACTTGCTGAGTCAAGTCAGTCTGTCTATTCTTTCTCCATCGAGTCTCTTCTGTCCTAAGTGATAGTACTTTGTGGATGAAGGATAGGGCTTGGATGGCGAAACCCTAATCTGACCTTGTAGGGATGAGACTGTGGCAGATCCAACTGTCCAGGGGGGCATAACCCTCCCAAGGACCGGTGCTGACCGGCTGGACACGGTTGGTATGACACGGTGGGCTTGAACGGCAGTTGGGAATGACACACCAGGCAGTCTTAAGTGTTGAGGGCCTTGTTGACCCGAACCCCTGTCAGACTTAATAAGGCTAAAGGCTATGTCTGACGACTCGACTGTCCCGGAGGTCACACCCTCCCAAGGACCGGTACTGACCGGCGGGCTGCTCAGTGTGGCACGGTAGGCCTGAAAAGCTAAGCTGTGGGCGGCGCGACAGGTAAAGACCTGCTGATCACGGCGTCCTGTCTACGATGTTAAAGAATTCTTGAGGAGTTACGGGGGATCTCCTTAAATGCCTCCAGATCAGCAAAGGTCCAGTAGTGACAGCCATAGTTAGGTCTAGGCTAGAGACCATAGTTGATAGGATCCTTGTCAGGATTCTGTGAGTCATTAGATTGAGTCAGTAGGTCTGTCAGTCCGGGGTTAGAGTCAACGTGGTGAGGTTTGGAACCGCTACCCGGTTGTGCACTTATCACCATGGTTGAGACCCGCGGTGGGACGAGTACTATCCCCTACACCCAGGAGCAGCAAGAGAAGATGGCCGCCATAGTGAGAGAAAACAGAGAGAGGAAGGAGCTCCTGAAGCAAGCGAAGTTGAAGGCTATCGCAGAGGAGCAGGCGGCAAAGATGAAGGAGTTGGAAGAGGAGATGGGGAAGAAGAAGAAGGCTGCTGAAGAAGAAGCGGCAGCAGAAGCAGAGGAGGAGAGAAAACGAAAGGGAAAAGAAGCAGAGAGCAGTGGTGCGATGAAGGAAGAAGTAGAGATGGAGAAAAAAATAAGTGAGTGGATCGCTAATTTATCGTTGGGGGAAGATGAGGAGGCAGAGTTCTACGTCCCAAAGGACGAGAGGGATGCGTTGGCCAGCGAACTAGTAGCGATGGAGGACCCTCTGGAACGAAGGGAAAGAGAAGAGGAGAAGAAATTGGAATGGAAGCTAAGGATGAAGAGAGAGAAGAAGAAGAGGAGGGAGGAAGTCAATAGGTTGACCGCGGAAGTGGCGAAAGTGCAGGATTGTAGGCGAGAAGTGGGAGCACAGGCAGATGTTTCTGCCAAGATAGATAAGATGCTGGGTTATCTGGAGGTGTTGAGTGCAGCCTGGATGGAGGAGCGTCAGGCCAATTGGAGTCAGAAGGTAGCCCTGGGTGCCATGCAGTCGAGATTTAGGGATTTTGCGCGCGATATGGTTACCCACGTTGGAGGGGAAGTTAGTGGGAAAGTTCTGCGAAGGCGCCATTGAAGGTGCCAAAGCCATAGTCGCAGTAGAGGGCGAGGCCAGACCCCGTAAGGACCGGTTAAACTTAAGTTTCCTGACGCATACGGGGGGAAGAAGGAGGAAAACTTTGACAACTGGGAAGCCAGTGTCAACAGTTATATTTATTTACAGCACATCCTGAGTGAGGAGCAAGTCCTCGTGGCCTTTCAGGCCCTTAAAGATGAAGCGGCTAGTTTCGCCAGGTCCCTCGCGCGCGCATCCGGTTGTGAAAACAACCTGGTTGCTTATTCTAAAGTTACCCCCTTTCCTCAATTCCTCAAGCTCCTGAAGGAGCGATTTGCTGACCCAACGAGAGGCGTTCACACCTCTGACAAGTTGCAAACAATCCACTCATGACAGTGGAGGAGTGCCAGGGCACTCAAGGGAACCATGGACGACTTGGTAGCCCTCCCGGACCATGGAGTCACTGAGACCCAATTGGTCCAGTTATTCTATCGTGCCATGCCAGAGGCCCTGCGTGGGCATTTCTTTTACAAGTCTCAACAGGTCGACATCACATATGATGCATTAAGTAGAGAAGTCGTTCTTTATGAGTCGAAGTCCATGCCAGTTACCACCTTCTGGCACAAGGACTTAGAAAAGGGCAAAAGGTGGAAAGGACGTACCATCTTTGGCCAAGTCATGGCCAAGGATCACATGATCCTGACGTTAGAGGAAGGTGGTACTGATGAGGTCCCATACAGTCAGATAGAGTGGGGCCTAGAGGAAGAGGACAGTAGTATGGGACAGGGGAGGTCTTATGTTGCTGTCGCAGCTGGAGGGAGGCCGCAAGGTAGAGGAGGAGGCCAGGGCGAAAGGGGCCAGGCCATGGGAGGCCGAGGACCGGGCGCACAGGGGGTTGGCGGACAGGGAAACCGCCAAGCGGGAGGTAGGGGTCAAGGTCCCCCGTTAAATCGCCAAGATTCCAATCGGTCCCCACAGCAACGAGGTGGTAGGGCACCTCAAGGAGGATGGCACCCAGGCTTGCCACAGGGCAGGCCCTGGGAAGATTTGGGCTTGGGCCAGGGTTTATGGAAGGAACGCCTGAACCTGGGTCAGTGCGTGTTTTGTGGTGACCCGGCCCACGTAATTAAATTTTGTCCTAAGTATAGACAGGCCCGTTGGGCTGCTCAGTCGTCAAAAAGCAGCCGCCAGTAGGGGTTGCAACTGCCCCTACTTCAGGGCCATGTGGAGAAGCGAGCGCGCGCGAACAGGACACTCCCAACCCACATGAGCCTATGGCAGAGGTTGCAGGCCCGTGCCTAGATAGTTGTCCAGAGACCGCCTGTGTTAGTGTCACTTTAGGCACGTCCCTCACAGGTGTGGCAGAAGAATTAAAGGACAGGATGCCAGCCTGAGCCAAGATGAAAAAAGAGAGTAAAGGACAGCTGATCTTGGTGGATGTAGAGGTGTTTAGAAGCAGAGTAGGGGCCCTTATAGACTCAGGGGCCACCCGTAGTTATATTAGCCGTAGGGCGCTGAAGAAGATGAGGTTAGGACTAAAAGTCCAGAAGTAAGTAAACCCCATAGTTAGTGTCCTCGCAGACAACCGCACAATGCGAGTTGAGGACTACGTAGAGGGAGTCCAGGCGTACTTTCGCCTAGAGAAGAATGGGAAAGTGAAGAAAGTTCTCCATTCCCTGACTATCCTCGTACAAGACGACCTTCCTTTTGACGTAGTTTTAGGAATGGATTGGGGAGAGGCAGCAGGGGCCGCACTCCATTTGAGAGAGCATGAGTGTAGGCTCCCTAGTCCGTTAGGCGAGGTTAAGAATGCCCGCTTGTTCCATGTGTCTAGTGTAGACAACACCTTGGCACATTGCTGTCTCAGTGCTCCCGCATTCGCGCGATTAGTAAAAAAGGAGCAGTTAGAGGAACAGGTCTTTGTAGTTTATGTTAGACCTGTCACTGAGGCCAAGAAAGAGGATAGTTCCACAGATCCAACGATTGCCAAGCTGCTGGAAGAATTCAAAGATTTGACTGAGGCGCCAAAAGGAGTAGTCCCGCGACCCATCCAGCACAGGATAGAGATAGAGCCTGGCAGTAGAACTCCTAAGGGTGCAGTCTATACAATGTCCCCTAGAGAGTTAGAGGAGTTGCGTAAGCAGTTAGATGAGCTCCTCGAGAAAGGTTGGAGCAGGCCCAGTTCGTCTCCTTTTGGAGCACCTGTCTTGTTGGTTCCCAAGAAGGAAGGAGAGCTTCGTATGTGCATAGACTATAGGGGTTTGAACGCAATTACTGTGAAGAATGCTGAGCCACTGCCCAGGATAGACGATCTTTTAGATCGGGTGCCGGGTTGCAAGTATTTCTCTAAGATAGACTTAAAGTCTGGATACCATCAGATAGAGGTTCATCCCGATGACCAGTACAAGACTGCGTTCCGGACTAGATACGGGCACTATGAGTTCATAGTGATGCCCTTCGGACTAACCAACACGCCAGCTACTTTTCAGCGTTGTATGAATGACCTGTTTAGACCATGGTTAGATAAGTTTGTAGTAGTTTATCTAGATGATATTCTAGTTTTTAGTAAGACCCTCCAGGAGCACCAGAGTCATCTGAGGCAGGTCTTGGAGAAGCTTAGAGAGGCTAACTTGAAGATCAACGCGAAGAAGTGCGAGTGGGCCAAGACACAAGTCCTGTACTTGGGCCATGTATTAGACGGAGATGGCATCAAGCCAGAGGACAGTAAGATAGCGGCGATTCGAGATTGGCCAACGCCCCGCACACTGACAGAGTTGCGGTCGTTCCTAGGCTTAGCTAACTACTATAGGAAGTTCGTGAGGGACTTCTCCACTATCGTCGCTCCCTTGCGCAGACTGCTAAAGAAAGAGGCAATCTGGCAATGGGACAAGGATTGTACATCTGCGCTAAAGAGACTGAAGCGAGCACTGATAGAGTACCCTGTCCTCAAAGTTGCAGATCCGTCTTTGCCATTTGTCGTCACCACGGACGCAAGTCAGTATGGAATAGGCGCCGTGTTACAGCAGGATGACGGCCATGGCTATAGACCCGTAGAGTTCATGTCCGCGAGGATGCCCTCAGAGAAGGTAGCCACCTCGACATACGAGAGGGAACTCTACGCTCTCAGGCAGGCTCTAGACCATTGGAAGCATTACCTGCTTGGGAGGCACTTCAAAGTATATTCTGACCATGAAACGCTTAGATGGTTAAAGACTCAGGCCAAGATGACACCTAAGCTGACTAGGTGGGCCGCAGAGATAGACCAATATGACTTTGAGCTTAAGCCAGTGAAGGGCAAGTACAACGTAGTTGCGGATGCTCTGAGTAGGAGATCAGACTACTTTGGAGCCATAGTACACTATCTGGATATAGGGAGAGACCAGCAGGAAAAAGTGAAGCAAGCGTATGCGCAACTATCTATAGCGACCTCCTAAAGAGAGTTAGAGAGGCCCCAGAGACCGAACCAGATTACCTCACTCCAAACGGGTTGCTGTTTGAGAAGACTAATGTGATTGACCGCCTGTGCGTTCCCAACAGCGAAGAGATTCATAGTCTGATTTTAGGGGAATGTCACGACACTGAGGGACATTTCGGTTGGCAAAAGACGTTAGCCAATCTGATGCGTGCGTACACCTGGCCAGGGATGAAGAATGACTGCATAGAGTATGTCCGCAGTTGTAAAGTGTCCCAGAGGAACAAGTCTACTACACGCGCACCCCTAGGTCTTCTCATACTCTTGCCTATTCCGGATCAGCCGGGAGACTCAGTGTCTATAAACTTCATGGACACCCAAGTCAAAAGTAGACATGGTAAGAGCCAAGTCATGGTCATAGTTGACCGTTTTAGTAAGTATGCCGTGTTTGTTCCTTTGCCTGCAGAGGCACGTACAGATTTAGTGATACATAAGTTCTCTGACTTTTGGGTAAGTGAGAATGGAATCCCATTGTCAATAGTCTCTATACATACTAAAGCAAACAAAGGGTCTGGCGACATGGTCGGTCGCGGGCCCAAGGGAAACCGTTTGGGACACAAAAGCGTGGCGGGGGGGCGCGGGGTTGAGAGGCCGACGAAAACCGTTTGGCCGCGCGGGGGTATACGCGCAGGGAAAAAAAGTTGGTCGCGCGTAGAAAAAAGTTGGCCGCGCGGGGGAACGTCCGTGGGGAATGCCAGGCCGCGAGCGCATGGGGCGTAGGGGCGTGGGGCAAGCGCGTGGGGCTCGGGGGACCGAACCACGTTATCGGAGCCTTGCTTTGCGGGGATCAACGGTGGCCGTATGTGTGTGTGTGTGTGTGTGTGTGTGTGTGTGTGTGTGTGTGTGTGTGTGTGTG